CATGTTTGGTTTTTTTTACTCGTGATCAGTTCGGGCAAAAGACAATCATTGTAGACAATCATTGTAGACAATCATTGTACGTGTGGTTCTCTCTCCACCATTCATTCATCACATTCTTTCTTTCTTCCTCCATTTATCAACAGTAACAGTATGTAAAAACAAGTTTTCAAACTGTAAATCGTCGGCTAGCTAGCCAAACGTTCTAAGCCCAGAAAGCTGCTGAAAAAAAGAAGGAGAAAAGAAAAACGGTTTTATTCTTGGATTGTACCTTATGTATGTATCTTTTCTTGCCTCTTTTCAACATTTAGCATTTATTGAACATCAACAAAATATTAATGAAGCATATTTCTATGCACACTGTACCAAATGCATGTATTAAGAAAGTGTAATAAAGACTCCTTTTTTTCTCTTTTTTCTTCCAACTTTTGGACTTAAAACGTTTGAACCTCTGACCAACGATATCCTGTAATTTCCAGACATTCAATCATAACTGACTTCCATCGTCTGTTCATGAACAAGAACGCTGTGAAAAGACACAAGCCTCCACAATCAATTGTCAGATATTCAGTCTATGAACAAGATGAGGAGGTCGTGAAAAGACTCAAGTCTCCCCACAAGTACAGAGAAAATCACCGATGGAGGGAACAGTCGTGTGACTTCAGTAACAGGGAAAAAAAATATTTGTGTAAAAAAAAAAAACAGCAACAGTAACAACAACAGCAACAACAACAGCAACAACAGCAGTAACAACAACAGCAACAACAACATTAACATCATTAACAATAACAAAACACAAACGAAAGCAGAAACAACAACAATTGAAACGACAACAACAACAAAAACAACAATAACGACAACAGCAATTTCAACAACAACAACAACAGCAACATTGTCATCAGCAATAACAAAAACAAAAACAACAATTACAAAAACAACAGCAACAACAACAACAGCAACAGAAACAGCAATAATGTTTACGTCATTAACAATAGCAAAAACACAAACGAAACCAATAACAACAACAATAATTTCAACAACAACAGCAGCATTGTCATCTACAAGAACAACAACAGCGACAACAACAACAACAATAATAACAACAACCACAAACACAACCCCAAAAACAACAACAATAGGCAGTCGTCAGAATGGAACGTTCATACAAGTTGTCAGAAGTTGGGATGGAGGCAGAAAGACATACACACATGCACACACACACATACACACATGCACACACATACACACACACACATACAAGTTGTCAGAAGTTGGGATGGAGGCAGAGAGACATACACACATGCACACACATACACACACACACGTACAAGTTGTCAGAAGTTGGGATGGAGGCAGAAAGACATACACACATGCACACACACACATACACACATGCACACACATACACACACACACATACAAGTTGTCAGAAGTTGGGATGGAGGCAGAGAGACATACACACATGCACACACATACACACACACACATACAAGTTGTCA